GGTAGAGGTATGTGACCTGACCTTCATAGACACTACAGTGTGTAGGGAATCACAACCAAAACAGTTGATAGAGTGCCGTGGGAGTTTTTCCGCTATCACTGACAGCATTCTTTTTATCGTAGAATCATAGAATTGTAGCATTGGAAGGAACCCTGAGGGTCATCTATCTAGTCCAACCCCCTTCAATGCAGGAATCTCAGCTAGATGACAGGTGGCCATGCAACCTTTGCTTAGAAACCCCCAAAACCTGCCTTATGGGACTTTTCCAGGAATGGCCTCTAGTTCAGAGAAAGCAACATAGGCAGTTATAGTATCACAATAAAGCAGAGCGGGCGGAAAATTTCATTCTGAGCAATGTGGAGCTAATAGATCCAGTGTTGACACTTTTGATAGCATCTGTTCAAGGAGACTTTGTATTGGTTTTGAGAGATGCAAGTGGCCTTTGTAACTTTTAAAATAAGATTTTACTATTCTTTGATCTGTATTCAGATTGCTTATTCGGGGTCCCCGGAGGAGACTCAGCAAAGGACTTCGGATGACTAAGTCCAAACATCAGAGAATAGAGCATATTCTTGTACATTTACATATATAAGTGGCACTGGCTGCCAATTAGCTACCATGCTAAGTTCCAGAAGCTGGTCTTGGTGTATAAAGCCCTGTTCACTTTGGACCAAGATACCTGAAAAATAGTCTCACCTTTTGCATATATTAACCTGATCACTATGTTCTGCAGGTGAGGGGCTTCCATCTCATCAGCAGGTCTATGCCTCACAATACAGATTCTCGGGACTCAGGAGACAAATGAGGGCTGAAGTCCTCAGATGTATGTTGGAGCTAGAGCACATTTTTAGACAAGCTTGGAGTATGCAAGGAATCTAATGGTGATTTCAGAGCGTATTTTGTTTCAGAGAGGTTTATTTTTTTTATTATGGAGCCAGAATAAAATTCTGCCCTTATGCTACTCTCAAACTTTCCCACTCTCTACTGCAACCCCCTCTGTATCTGGTCAGAACTGAATTCCATTGACCTCAGTGGGGCTTACCTCTGGGTTAGTGGGCATTGGATTACATCCTAAATTGGTTAATGCTGGCATTTAAAATTTAATTTAAAGTCAGAGTATTTTTGCAGAATTTCATAAGCATTTACTGGCATAGCTTTAACATTAAATTGAAAAAACGAGAAAATATTGCTGGACCTTTTATTTCCATTTTGATTCTTCCTATTAAACGCTTGGGCGTACTTTATGGGGTATGTTGCAATGGATCTCTTTCTCTCTCGCACTGCATCTTACAATGGGTTTATGAACACAATTCCCTGTGCATTTTGCTGCCACTAATTTCCCTTTCTGTCAAAAGAATTGAATGACCTCACCTATGGCAGGATGTTGGAAACATGATGTTAAAAGTAGAGGTATTTCTGTCTGAATGTTTGGAGGTCCATTATTGCAAAAATGACGTTGGAAATTCCTCTTGGTCTTTCTGTTGCAGGCATTTCCTTCCAGAGTTTCCCTCTCTTTGAGGAAACGACTTCACTGTAATCTTAGAGGAAGTAAGAGGATGTAAACTACTGATTTCCATTTTTGGTGATACTTTACAGTTAATTAAAAAAAGCACCCAAGGAACTCTCTATTAGCTTTTGTAATAGCAATGGTGTCTGCCTAGTTTGCCTGAATGGCATTTCACCATTATGTCACCATTATGACTATATAGCTCCTGAGTAGAAGTGGATTAAAAAGAATGCAAAAAAATTGGCTTGGAGTTGACCAACGAGGGACTTGTGCCTTCCGTAACATATCACATGGAGCACCATAAGCATAAAGGAGAAAAGGGGATACAGTGGTACCTCGGGTTAAGAACTAAATTCGTTCTGGAGGTCCATTCTTAAACTGAAACTGTTCTTAACCTGAGGTACCACTTTAGCTATTGGGGCCTCCCACTGCTGCCATGCTGCCACCACACGATTTCTGTTCTCAAGCAATGTTCTTAACCCGAGGTACTATTTCTGGGTTAGCGGAGGCTGTAACCTGAAGCGTCTGTAACCTGAAGCGTCTGTAACCTGAGGTACCACAGCATGTTCTACTATGAAGCTGCAGCTCTAGCTTCAGAGTTGAAAATACATGAGACACCTCAAGACCACTTGCCGTTGACCATAATCACAGTGACATGTAGCTCTTTTTAGGTGGCTTAATTACTTTGGCAACATAAAAAGTTTAGAAAATCTGTATTTCCCCAACATGGATGTGTATGTATATCCATGTCTTTATTTTTACCTATATAATTAGGTGTATGTGTTTTTTAGTGCTCTCTTGATTTGTTTTTTTTCTTAGTGTTTTAAAAAGCATGTATGTTTTGAAAACTGACGTTGATTTATAGATTTGCAGTATCTTGATTTTAACAGAGTAGGAAGCCAGTGACACCAACTGCTTTAAAATTGGGCTAGGTGGAGAGCAGTAGGCGACGAGGCACTCAAATCAGATGTGCTTCTCATGCATGGAGTACTCGAAAGGTATGTTCCATGGCATGTTGGGACTTGGGTTTTGATTTGGGTTTTTTGTTTTTTTTGTTCTGCCGTTCTGGCAGAGCTGAAAATACTCTTACCCACAGGGAATATAAAGAACGATACGCTGTAATCCAAGAAAGCGGATCAAAGTGCAAAGACTTGCCAGTTGGATTTATAAATCCAATATCTTACACAAGTGCTTTCACTCAGTTTCAATTTGCTCAATTTATGTGGGCTGCTGCTGGATGAGATAACACAATGCTGAGGAAGAAGAAACAAAAGGGACGGGAAGTTCTTGTATGGAACGCCATGATTCTACCCAAAGTGCAGCCCTTTCTAAGGATGTTCAGCAGTTTGGCTGGCAGAAGTAGGGAGCTAAGGCTGTTAAACAAGGTAGGGCAAAATGCAACAAAAAGAAAGAAACACAGCCTTGCTTCATACATTGATACAGTGGGATAGCTTCCACTTGAAAATTTGTGTGCCGTTCCGCATGGGAAACTTCGTGAAATGGCTCTGTGTGTGATTTTGATAATTTAAGCCAGTGGTTTTCAACCAGTGCGCTATGGCACCCTGGGGTGCCTTGAATGATAGTCAGGGGTGCCGTGGGCAACACTGGCCTCTGTTCACTTTTCTTTTCCTCCCTCCTCTGATGCCCTTTGAGTCTCTGCCTCCCAAAGGCTTGTGTGACTATTTGTTGCAGCAGCTCGGGCTACAAGCTCCCCAGGCGAATGGTTCCTCTGGGGCTGGCCAGGGCGTGCTGGTTGCCAGGAGCTGAGGTGGCCTTGATGTAAGCAATTGGGTGAGGGAGCCCAGCCAGCCAGCCCACTAGCCCCAACTCTTGGGAATGGACAGACAAGTGGGAGGCCAGGCAGGCAGGCAGGGTGTTCTGGCCTTTCTTGTTCTTGCTGTGTGCAGTACCTGCCTGGGAGCCGAGTGCCCGGCACTGAAGGGGAGCCTTTCCACCATGCTGTGCCGGCAGCAAGATGGTGGTCTCACGTTCACCTCCAGCCAGTCCCTGTTGGGTCTCTAAGGCTGGGGGCATCTTCTTCTGAGGCCTCTGTGGGGTGGTGTGAAGAGGTACCCCAGATACTCCAGCGCTATCTATGCCGCTGCTGCCTGGATACACCAGTGATTGAATCTGCATGCAAGGCAGATGATCTGTGACCCTTCCCTGTGGGAGCTGCAGCTATAATTCTCTCCTCTGGCCTAATGGGCCCAAACAAGTTCAGTCTTTGGGGGAAGTGGGGTGTGTATTGTTTAGGTTTAACTCTTCTCTCTGTTTATCAGCCAGGGTGTGCTGAAAAATGGAAATTTGTGCCTCTTCTGTTGATCAAATACACAGTAAAGTTTGGAAACAAACAGAGACATTAGCACGTAGACTGATGGAGGAATGGGGTGCTGAAGATATGCATGCTAGCAAGAGTAAATGGGCTGTAAAGCATTCTGGCACTTTTTATTATATGCATATTTAATCACAGGGAGAGCGAAGGAGTCTAGCAATGTTCTGTGCTGCTCTTTTTTGTTGTTGTGCTGTTTGAATTTCATAGAAGGCAGAGTCCTGAGACTTCGGTAGCAACCTTTGAAACAACAATATATTGTTTTACTTTGCATACATATAGGCAGAGGGAGTTGTAATATTTCACAAATGTGGGACCCAGCCAGTCAATTATTTCAATATGCAGCTCACACACTTACCATTACCTGCAGGTTTCCCCCTGTAGAGAGAGGTACAAATTTAATTATAATTATAGCTTATGCTGTATGACCCACTTACTCTTCTACCCACGTACAATAAGACTGATCTGAACAATGCATCTGATGTTCTAGATCTGGCCCTTCTTATTAATATAGTTATATTAAAATGTAACGGTAATATTTCAGAGGGTTGGACCTCTTGGTCTCTTCTGTAAAACAAAACTGGTTTTGTTGGGTTCCTGCTCCTACCAGCCACAGCCATCATGGCCAGTGGTCAAACGTAATGGGATCTGTAGTCCAGCCATACTTTCTCTATCCTTTCCCTACCCCCAGGATGTTCAATTTCCCTACCCCCCGGGGAATCAATTTCCTGAGCCAAGTGATGGGTTGGTATGTTCTAATGGGAATGGGAAAACCCTGATATTGTATGTGTGTGTTTTAAAGTATTTTATTGTTATGTATGGTTTAAATATTTGTAATCTTTGGAGAGCTTTCAGTCTGAAATTTGTGTATTATTAAATGTTATAATAAAGAAGTACATTGCGTTCTGTGAGCTAAGCTGAGGGCTGGAAGGAGAATTATCTGGGGGAGGGGAACAGGGTAGGTTGTTGTGTTAAAAACAGCAAAATAAATTAAGTACTTTATAGACAAAGTACCAGCACCAATATTTGAACGTTCCTATGAATTTGCTGCCCTAATGCTTTCAAAACCTACACCCTAATGCACCAGCAGCCTAACAGATTCTTTGTCATGCTTTGAATGTTTGTTAGATAATGATGGTGATTGTAATATATTTTTTCTTGCAGATTATAACCAGGAGAATTTCAAATCCCTATCTGGAAAATCCTCCAGGCAAGGTAATTTTTTAAAAACCTCATTTAACAACTCTTTCATGCCTTCATTCTTTTGAGATACGTATTTCATTAATGCTGCCTTGAAGCTAGGTACATTTGTTCATCTTCGAGTTTGTAACAGCTAATGTGGGTTACAGCTTTCTAATGTAAATAGATTTTAATATTGCTGATAAGGAATCCCTTATCCAAATACGAAAAGCTTGGTGAAATCATGCTTGTACTTGTCAGATGCGTTCTGTAACTTTTATGTAGTGCTAATGCTATAACCTTGTATGCTTGCATAATTTATTGTTTGTCCAATTTGTCTTTTCTTTTAGATTTATGGAGAGGGTGCCTCATGCGCTGGGAGAGCTCTCAGAAATGTTTTCATTCTACAAGCTTCTGATCTGATGAAAGACAGAATGTCTCTGATGGGACTTTGCAGGTAGCCATGTTTGCCTTAGTTTAACAAAACAGTTTTCTCCTTACTATTTCTCACTCCCTTGCATTTGCAGCACTGGACTGGCTACCATACGTTACCTGCATTGGCAGATATCTTCCTGGGGCAAGGAGAAGCAAACTGTCCCTCCTTATCCTAGAATGTTTTTCGTATACAAGGATCCTATTACTAATGACAATGAACTTGGATGTGATCAAAGCTGACAGTTTTGATTATTAATTTTATTCCCATTTTGTGTTGTGTTGCTTTTGTGTGCTATTCCTGAAAATATTTTGTTAGTAACAAACTTTGGTTGATCTAATATAATGTATGCATGTGTTGCCAAATAATGTGCATCTCTTCTCTGGTAAGGGGGGTGGAATCTACAAAGGATGGAGATTGTTTTCATGACCCTGTCATAAGAATCTGCCCTCAGGGAGGCAGTGTAGCGGTGCTTCTGACTTGAGCGATGTTTCTTACCTTTTGATTGAAATGCAATCAATAAAAAAATAATCTTTTATTTATAGCATTTGGTATATGTTCTTTGTAGAGAAACTTCCAGACTACTTGAGAACAAATTGATTAGCTAACCAAACATATAGCAAAACTGGTTTTCTTGTTTTTATAACAAATAATTGAAAGGATCTTTTAAAAAATGCAATTCTTTTTGTAAATTCCCATCTTTAAAAAATGCATGCAGATTTATTATTATGCCAAACTGAAAAATGGTGACGCTGTCTGCCAATTCTTTCCTGAAAGGATGAAGTTTGCTCACATTTTAAATGTAGGAGTTGGTTTGTTGACTGTGCAAAGATCTCATACATGTGCCTGATGTTGAAATGTGTTGCCTCTCTGTTGCCAACATAATATCCCATGTTAATGGTACAGCCAGACTTTAAGGTTGGGAGAAGATGAAATAAGTGACTTCTAGGGAAGTTACATTATATGTGTAGATTAGCTTGTAGGGAAGCTAGTAGAAGTTTAGCCTGAGGGGGATGTCTAGTTGCAACTAGTTGCATCTTGAGATAATAAGGAAGAATCTTCTGGAGGAGGAGAAATTGTTTGTAGGATGAAATGCAAGTTGTTGAACGATGTGGTTCATTTTGTACTTCAGGATTGGGGAACTTGTAGCCCTCCAGATGCTGTTGGGCTCCAATTCCCATCAGCCCCAAACATGATGGTCAGTTGTCAGGAATGATGGAAGTTGTAGTGTAAAATTATCTGGAAGGCATGAGGTCCCCCATTCCTGGACAGATTGGGCACTTGCAGACAGTTGCTGCTTTTTGGTGACATACAGTTGTACCTTGAATCCCGAATGCCTTGCGAGTTGAATGTTTTGGCTCCTGAACGCCACAAACCCGGAAGTGAGTGTTCTGGTTTGTGAGTGTTCTTTGGAACCCGAAAGTCTGCAACTTCCGCGACTTCCAATTGGCTGCAGGAACCTATACATTTGTTTACAGCAAACATAAGAGTAAAAATAAGTGGACAACATGAAATTTCCCCAAAATATACGCTCAATAACACACGAACAAATAAAGCAATCGGGGAATTATCATCAAAGTAATCGACTAGCCAAGCATAAAGAAAAGGGAGGAAATCAAATCGCTCAATCTTACAAATATCACTACATAAATCCATAATTTTTTTTGCTTGTTTAGGAGAAGTTGCATTGGATCTGAACTCGTAGACTGGCTTTTAAAGCGCTGTCCTTTCATAAAGAGCAGATCTACAGCAGCTGGTATCTGGCAGCTCCTACTGAATATGAGAATTGTGTTATCAGGTCAGTTTTATGAAAGCAAGTCTAACCCGTTTTACGAAGGTATTCAATTTCCCTTCCTGTCCTCATCTTTCCCTGGGCATTAGATTTATTATGTTTACAAAGGGGGAGAGAAAAAGACAGATATCTGTTGTTCTGTTGGGCTCCCTCTGTGCTGCTTTGGTATATATTTCACATGCGATCTTTCATATCCTGAATAATTATGATGAGATATTTACTAGATATTTTTGCCCAGGGACATACTTGTCAACTTTCAGAATGTACATTCTTTTCTCTCCCCTACTCCCTCCCTCCTTTTACCTTGATACTTTCCTTATCCTGTTGCTAAATACTGTGCAGCTGAGTAAACAATACAGTAGTTCACCATATGATTATGGTGGAGCCTTTTTAGTATATTGAAAGGAACCTTTGACTGAAGAATTGCAAATTCTGTCCCTGTTTCCCCTGTATTACGTTTTAGATAGCAAGCTCTGCATAACAAGGAGTTTACATCTTGTACTCCATAACGTGTATGCGCACCGATGACCCTATATTTTATAAATAAATGAATTCTTGAAGGATGGCTTTGAATAAGGAGTACTCTTTACCTTTGCAGCTTTTCTTCTGTCGCTGTTTTCAAGCTCACAATCATTTATCCACGTTCAGGCCGCTGCCAAGTCTTCTGCCTCCTTAACAAGAGATGGCTCCCTTTCTCCATTTATTGCTGAACCACCTAGTCACCTCTCATCTCTGTTGTGGTTCTTTACATGTTGGGGCTCCATTAAGCCTTGTCTCATGTCTTTGGGAATTTCAAAATTCCCTGTGTAATGTAATTTTTCTCTTCCATGGCTGGGATTGTGTCTGCTCCATTCTTTCAAGCTTCATGTCACTTCTGCACCAGTTTTTATTTACCCTTGTCTTACTTTGAAGGGATTCTGTGTCATTGCCACTGACTATAACTTGATTTGTACATGGCCTTTGCAGCATGGTAGCTGCTTAAAAAAGCAATTCGTAAAGATTATTCCAACTTCAAGCTGTCTGTGTAAAGCACCTCCTCACACACTTCCAGCCATGCTAAAGCAATCCCTGTTTTGGGTAATTGCTTTTGTTAGCATGCTTGATATTGCAGGAGAAGCTACTTCACATGAAGCTACTTCATGTTGGGTTTTTTATGTTGCTTAAAATGTTGAAATGGTTGCTGCAGGCTGTATCTGTATATAGCCCAGTGTATAGCCCAGTTCACAGTGTGTTTTCCACATGATTTGTATTCAAAACGTATCTTATATGGTTGGTCTGTACGTGTGAACTAGCCCTTCATTGTCAACTGAAGCTAAATTACTGGATTAATTTCCAATACTTGCTTAGCAGTTACTTCAAGTTTTTGGTTTTGTGGCAAACTGATAGAAATCACTTTCTAAGAGTAATAGAATTATCCCCCCTCTTTTTACACAGTGGATAAACAGATTTATTTTCAAGACAAGTACGTTTTCTACCAGTTCTCAGCTGATGAGTGTACATATCTTTTCTGTGAATATGAAAGAGATGATGGATGGAAAAATGGTGTGAAACTCTTATTGCAGCTAGTGCCTGTTATTCCTCCAAGGATTAATACCTGTAATCTGTAAGTATATTCTCCGTGCAATTCTTACTGAAAGTTCGGCAGATGACTGGGTTATATCTGTTAAATAATCTACCAGTCTTCCCTTCTACTTTATGCATATTATCACAGAGGCTGTTGCCTGTGAAAACTCCTACCATAATCTTCCTACTTACATTGTATAAACTGTGTGGCTACTTGGTTTGTGTTACCTAAATCAGCCTATAGCTGGCCCTGTATTATTTATAGGAAGCAGTCTTATGGGAAAGAAGTCTTGCAGCAGGCTAGCCATATTTTATTGAATGATTTTAAGTAAGTTTGAGTTACTATAATAACTTGTATCTCAGTGGTTCCCAAACTGTGGTACATGGAGCTCAGTGGTTCACAAGCTTCATTCAGGTGGTCCACGAAGAAGAAGTCCACATTAAATATTCATATCTGTTTTTAATTGTATTTTTATTGCTTTCTATTTCTCATATTGTATATTTATTGTATTACAATTTGAATTCTATCTATTAAGAAATTAAAGAAGCAATAAAAATACAATTAAAGATAATATAGCATTGCAATTGCTACAGCAGGCAGCAAAATCATTTAGTGGTCCACCAAGACCTTCAGCAATTTTCAAGCAATCCGGGGGGGTGAGTTTGGGAACCACTGTAATAGAGGGTCTAAGGTCAGGTACAAAGGAAGTGGACAGGTAAGGGTCTGTCTCTGTATAAGGGAGACATAGGGCTGATGGGTCTCCTTGCTGTAAGTGTTCCTGTGCACTTATGAGATAAGGGACGCGGGTGGTGCTGTGGGTTAAACCACAGAGCCTAGGACTTGCTGCTCAGAAGGTCGGTGGTTTGAATCCCCGCGACGGGGTGAGCTCCCGTTGCTCAGTCCCTGCTCCTGCTAACCTAGCAGTTCGAAAGCATGTCAAAGTGCAAGTAGATAAATAGGTACTGCTCTGGCGGGAAGGTAAACGGTGTTTCCGTGCGCTGCTCTGGTTTGCCAGAAGTGGCTTAGTCATGCTGGCCACATGACCCAGAAGCTGTACACCAGCTCCCTCGGCCAATAAAGCGAGATGAGCGCCACAACCCCAGAGTCGGCCATGACTGGACCTAATGGTCAGGGGTCCCTTTACCTTTACCTTACACTTATGAGATACATAAGCCAGAGGCCTCCTCCATTGTAGACCTGAAAGTCAAGAGGCATCAAAGAAAGGATGTGAATTTCATAAACTGATTTGAATCAACTAGCCAAATTCACAACAATAAGAGAGGGTGCCAAGGGCAAGCTGGGGTTAGGCTGGGTCCCAGTTACTCTAGTTAGGTTTTCTCTGTAGTTCATGAGAAGCTGCCATGATGAAGACAAGTCCTGCTTCAACTCAGACCTCCTTGCGCCCCTCATTTGATTACAGATAACAGGGTGGTGTCTTGCCACCCTTTGATTGACCTTAAAATGTAAGAGTTTAATTCCTTTGGGTGCCATTCCTGAAGCAGGGCTGCAGTTCAGCCTCTGTATATGTCACTGTGAATTATTGTACTAGATTATTGTACCCTTTGGCTTCTACAGTGGCATTTCTTCTTAACTTGGGCAAGTTTGAATAAATAAAAGCATTTAGAGGAAGACAAATTGATGGGACACTTCAGTTATAGCATGGCATGTCTTAATCAGAATATTTTAGTTTTTAAGCACATCCTTTAACTTAAGGTCTAATTCAGCTTTTCCAAGGTGGTGTTCCCAATATGTTAAAGGTGGTGTTCCCAATATGTCCTATCAACATCAACCAACATTCCTAATGGCCAGGGATGATGGATGTTGTAGTTCACATTATCTGGAGGGCACCAGGCAAATCTGAGCAGTCCTTTACAAACCTTTCCTTAAAAAAAAAACTTTTTGCTTTAACAGGAACAATAGAAAAATAGAAGACACAACTGAGACCAATGCTGAAATTCTTGCCCGTCTCACTTCTGCGGTGAGTCTTTCGAAAAACTTTTTTTTACTGTATTGAAAAGTGATATGTTTGTGACCGACTGTGGTCTCAAGAAACTGTAATGCTCACATCATGGTTCTAATCTCTTGCGCATAATTTTAATGACAATAGATTAAAACTGTAATATATTTGTATTTTGGCCTTCAACGCTGAAAGATTCTCAGGGTGGCTGTCAGGGAACTGCCATCGGCTCAGGGGCGAGAGGGAAAAGGCTGGGTGGATTACAGAGAGCCCCCAAAGATCGTGGGAAGCAGCACGTCCTCAGCGGAGGAAGGTAGCCATGCCTCTAGTGGAGAGGAGAGGCAGGGGGCGAAGGAGGCAAGGCAGTGCCAGGACACCTTGCCGGAGCAAAGCGGGGAGGAGGGAGGTCCCCCGTTACCCAAGCCTTCCTTGGGCAGAAAACTTCCACGCAGAGAGGGGAAGCGCAGATTGGGCGTCAAAAAACTACTCTGCTGGGGAAGGTTTAAGGACTGCCCACTCTCAGATTCTGTCGGTGAATGAGCAAGACACGGAATACAGGCGCTCTGCATTCTAAAGGTTTTATCACTAATAAGAAAGCCTTAGAACACGCTTTGGAGGCATATTGCCTGATTGCTCTCGAGCAACCAACAAACCGATACCTCTAACAGTGGCTAAAAATTAAAACAGTTACTTTTTTAAAATAAATCATCGGTATTAAAATACAGGTCAGTAGAGCATTAAAACAAAGGCAGTTTTAAAATATAACACCTTATAACCCCAAAGTGTAGGTGTGGGAAGGAGGGGAATGTAGACATATTGGAATTTGGCACTGTTTTTTGTTGATTCTTCCACACAAGAGGCACTAACAAATTGACCACAAGGCTCCCACTTGAGGGTCTCCTAGCTGATTCTGACAATGGGTGTGGCAGTGCCATTGTAGGCAACTCCCATTTTGCACATGTTCGATTCATGTGTGACCACGCATGCGCGTGGCAGGTTCAGCACCAGAAGAGGATGGAACGGGGACAAGCAGGCTTATGCACGCTCTGCAAATGCGTGCAATGACCCAGAATATAACCCCCATGTAAATAGGGGGTGGCCTATATTTAACGCAAGGCAAAATAGTTGAACTACCTTTGAGTTAATAGTTTTATTGGAATTGTAGAGTCTAAACCCCATACAAAATTTCCACAAAGTGAACAAAAGCCTGCTTTTATCAGTGTTGAAATGTGTGCAGAAGGATTGTTTGCCAATTCAGAGTGTAACAATAATCGACACATAAAATACTAATGTGAATTTTAGCCACATGAACTGAAGCCAAGGCTAGTGAAGAACTAATTATGCCTGTGTGTGTAATACTGCTTTTCCTGTCACTTGGCAGGATGCTTTTTAGAACCAATGGGGTATGTTTTCTTGTATCTCCCCCTGCTCAATTCCCACAAGGGTTCAGTATCTGTAACTGAGCTTTTAGAAGATATATTTTCTCAGAATTAATAGTACAAGCTTCTTTTTCTCGAGTCTGGCTAGAACCTGTTGGTAAAAGGAAACACATACTTGTTTGAAACAATGGAAGGGCGAGGGACTTCTTGAGCTATAATAGCTGTGTGGAATGGTGCCAAGTTGGTCAGGTTGCAGGAAACAACAGCAAAGCATTTGCTTTTGTGTCAGAAACATAATATATTAATTATTATAAATTACATTTACTGCTTTGTCTTTCCACCTGATGAGAAATCCTTCCTAATGTGGCATAGTGTGTAATAAAGTGTAATACATGTGAAACATAAAAGAATGAATATTTGATATGTGGGCTGTATTTGAAATGGTACAGAAACTTGAGGGTCAAGGAGATGGGTTGCTGTCGTCTATAGAAATGTCACTTCTCTGTCTAGTTAAGTAGGGATCTAGTGTGTGTGTTTCTGGTGTAGAGCAACCGGGATAAATGAGAGATTCTGCTGGTTTACCACTTGCCTCACTGCCCAACAGTCTCCCTGCCTGAGTTGACGGAATTTTTCGATTGACTTGCCTAAGATCCAGGACAAAGCATCGTCTTTCAGAAATCCCACCGCCCTAGATGTCAATTCCACCTTTGAAATTCCCTTTGAAATGTATCTGTGTGGGGGCTTGTTGTCTATTTGTATGGTTGCAAGTTGTTTTGGGTTTCCCTGGGCAAGATAAAGCGACTGACAGATTTAATAAATAAAATAGAAGCATAGAAAAATAGAAAAACCCAAGAACAGGAAGGAACACAAACATTTAACTCTATTGTATGCTATTTGGCTTTCTTGGAAGATTTGGTACACACATGCACAACCCTTGAGAGGCAAAGCAGCAAAAGATTTGAGCAAGTGTCTTAACATCAGGATGCAAATATTAACCCATCATGCTTACTAGTCTAAGATATCCAGACACACACCCCATCTCTAATATTATTTAGGAGTCTCAAAATGAACTAATTTCTTAAGCTGGCAAAATATGTGGCAAGCATAATGAGAAAGAATTAGTCTTGCACTCTGTTAGAATAAAAACTAAATTTCCCCCAAAGTTCGCAGGATATTGAATATACAAGGGCATTCTCCACTTCAGGTTTTAAATCTGCAGAAAGCCTTAATTTGTGCTTTTTTTAATGTAAATCTTTCCTGGCCTGAAAATGATTATTTTTTTTTTACTGTTCCTTTTCAAAGAGAGATCCGTGGGTTCCATAAAGTAATAATTAAATTTGGGTGATTACAACCTTTATGAAAGTTGCTTCGGTTTTACTGGTCGACACAGTGTCAATCTCTTGAAATTTAATGTTCAGTAAGTTTTGGGTTGCATATGCAGGAAAGGTCCTGAACATACTAATTGCATAAATTGATTGAATGATTCCTTGTGAATCTGACAGTAGTCTCAGATGGTATCTCCACGATGACTGATCTACAGTATTCATCTTTTCCATGGCCATGTCATCTCTAATCTTGTAACCATGATATCTGACCTTTTCCCTCATGATGATCCATCTGGGTTTCAACTTTGTAGACTTTAAATTATTAAAAGGATTATTAAGGGGATATAAAAAATGATTAATATGAATATGAACTCTTGCTGATATATGGAAGTGCTGAGTGCTTGGAGCAATCTCAAGCTAATGCCAATGTGCAAATTCCATTTCCAATATTGAAAGTTAAAGAAAAAGGAATTCTTGGGGATTCTTCAGAATTCTTTTTCTGAGGCCTTGTGCTGTTCTTGTTTTACTTGTTAATTTTTCCACATATGCCAAATATCGGACTTTATGGCAGTTGTGGGGAACTTTGGTCCTCCAGATGGTGCTGAACTAAAACTCCCATCATCCTTATTCTTTGGTCACACATGCTGGGCATGATGGGAGTTGTTGTTCAGCAACATCTGGAGGATCAAGAGTTCCTCACCTTTGCTTTATGGTACCTGTATTAATAATTAACATTTATTTATATAGCACCATTAATGTATGTGGCTCTGTGCACAACTAAAACAATAAATTCTGCACCAAAGGGTATACAATCTGAAACAACAAATATGAACAGTACAATAAAAATCAGTAGTCTAATATGCACAATACACAACCCAGTGAATAAAACTAGGTAGCCGGACCAAAACAACTCAGGGGAAAACAATATTTTAAATAGAGATTTGAACATATGAAGTGAGCCCACAAATGTTCTGGAAGAGGATTTCAAGCATATGGAGTAGCAAGAGGAAAAGGATGGAGACACAATAAGCACTTGGATGAATAAGAAGCACAGAATTAGAAGAACAAAGAGAGTGACTAGATGTATATTAGGACACTAAGTCTGAGAGATAGGAAAGAGACTGACCATGAAGAGCTTTAGAAGTAAAGACAAGAGGTTTATAAAATATTTGAGTTAATGGGCAGCCAATGAAGTGGCTGTAGAAGAAGAAAAACATAATCTGATCGTTGCACCAAGAAAATAATCTTCCCTGCAGCGGTCAATGGTTGCTCCCTTGAGGTCTTTCCAAATTTCAGCTATTGTTAACCTCACAGCCATTAAAAGGTGGCCAATAGAAATCTTGCTAGTGGTATCCCTGTTGCTATTCAAAAAGAGATTAAGGAGTGTCAGTTGCAGTGATGTGTTATCTTTTGAACTTCATCAAAAAGAGCAACCCAAAAGGATTGAGTCTGTGGACAGGACCACCACATATGGCATTATGTACTCTTATCCCACTCCCATAGTAAGGGATAAGCTGACAGTCATGTTCCAAAGGCAGTGATGCATACTAGGTAAATTAAAAAACAACAACACTTTTTTGGGTGAAATTAAGTATTTGCACAAAAACCTTACTCACTTGATAGGCAATGATTTCTACGCGCTTATGTGGCTCCCGAAATTAGTATTTCTTTTTTGAAATATGGGATCCAATCTCGTGCTTTCCCAGTATTTCCTACATTGGCCATAATGGTCACAACAATAGCTGTTTGCCAGGAAAGAAGACTCCTTGGATATTAATCTTTGCATTATAACAAAGCACCACACATGTAAATAGATTCATTGGCTGTATGCTGCTGCTGATAATAATAATTTCAGGACATTCAGTGATGTTTGGGGTGTTGTAGAAGGAACCTTTTATTGTAGAAAAGGAACATCTCATGACATAAATATTGGGTGGTAACCAATGAAGTGCTTCCTCTAGCACAAGGATTTTTGATTGTGCAACAGAACAACTTCTCCATCTCTCCTTGTGTGCCCTGTGTGCCTTCCCTCCCCCCTCCCAAATCTACCTCAGTGGTTTGGGAGAACCCCCAGAACAGATTTAGGGAGCCTCTAGGAAGAGGATAAGTTTTGTTGTTTAGCCAGAAGTGCTAACAGAAGCACTTCGTTGGAAACCACCCATTATGTTCTATAAACACCCAGTGCTGATCCATTAAGCTGCATGGGAGGGAGGATGATGGCACTGATGAAACGAACAGTTGCATATTGTTTTCCTTTTGTGTAGCTATCTTTGCTTATGCCAGTTGTGTTAATGTGGTTGCTAATTGCTGCACTGAATCAAATATATTTTTTATGAGCATACTGCCACTTAGGAAATAGCACTATCCTATCCGAGTTCATTCAGAAGCATGTACTGTACCACAATTTTCAGTCGCTCTTTCTTTTGGACAACTGTGCAGAGGATTGTAGCCTAACTCTAAGAGATCCAGATTGCTAGAGTAGATGGTTTGCTCAGTGTATGTAACAACTTCCTGCTTATGGGCACGACTGTAACACTTTGTCTTTTTGGTGTGTTAGGTGCAGAGAGAATTGGCGGCTGTTCTTGCTATTAAGGCAAGAAAATCAGGTGAGTGTATTCAGGTTTGGATTTTGCATTTTCAGACCATATTAAAAGAAAGAAATATAGTATAAAGCTTATTTAATGTGACAAGAACTGCTTGACATTTTCTTCTGTTTTCCTTCTTTCCTACTCTTCAGTAAATGTTCACCTGATGAGCTATTATAATAATTGATCTACTAGTCTAAGCTGTTTGTAACAGCTTCTCCTACAAGACAAGTGTTCTTTTTGCTTATCTTTTTATATTTTGTATATTAATGCTTATATATCCATTGCCTTCAGTTGAAATGTATACATTCAGATTTTGAAGATTGTTTTTTTGTCACCACCCATGCATAAGAGTTATGTTTTGCAATAGTACCATATGACTTTTTCCTTTTTTTAAAAAAATCTTTCTTCCTAAATATAACACATGAGTTAAATCACAAGGCTTGCCAAGGTTGCATGAACCTGTTCTTTTTAAAGCTGAGCCCATCATAGTTTGGTTTAGGCATGAGCATGATATGTGGACTTTGAGAAATATACAAAAGGGATATACCTTAATATATTTCCTCCCCCCCCCCCACTCCTTTAACTTCTGTTAATATTACTTGTATGTATTGCTTTCTGATACTCAACAAAGGCAAATGGGATACATGGAAAAGCATAACTGCCTGATTTGTGGCTACTCTCAGTTTGTTACATGTTTCAGGCATTTGTCAACATCAGTCATTTAACGTTGTGTCAGGTACAAAATGAGAGTTTCCAAAATGTGGATGTTGTGGACAGTTAGTGAACAGCACCAATAAACTGCTTGGGCTTTGGGTTGGTAGAGGAACTAGAATAGTGTCATTGGCTGCCCCAATATCTGTGGAAGGGTGCATGAGATTCTTAAGGGTCTTGGCACTCAACCAGGGTCTGTGTTCCTTTGGGGACAATGAGGCATGGTGGAGTCTACAGTGTCTTTGAAATAAGACTTATTTACACATATTTACACTGGAAGCTTTAAGTAAAGAGAGATTTCACAGCATTCTCACCTCAGGAGGGGCCCTGTCCTTCACCGCAGCCCAGCATTGGATTCCCAGGCACATCTGTGCCTCTCTCACAGCCTGCCAATATGGCTCTGACCTTCACACCAACTCATCCAGTTCTCCTCCTTTTCCCACAACCCCTAAATTTCAAAAGGATACATTTCCCCCCATATATGGCATCACGCCCCCATCACCTGCCTGGTTGACGGTTTCCATTGATAGCTTAATCATTTGCTCCCAACACCTTTTGTCATTCTCAACAACTTCTATCCCAGGTGAGGCCTTGGCCTGGAAAAAAAGACTTAGCCTGTATTTTCCACTGCCCTGGCATCTTTCCGTCAATACTCCAGATTGACATTCACTAACTCTAGTAGTTATGAATTCCCTTGCACCCCCAAACTCTGTTACCCCAGATCTGGAACAGTATTATTGCTAGTGGAATTAGATCTTAATTAGTGTAGTACAGTATTTTAGGTATTAGTCACTCTGCAGTGCTGCTTTGAGTAGTTGAAGCGGCAAGTACAGTACTTGGAAGTTTGAGTCTGTATGCAGGCTTCTTAAACTATTGAACTGAACACTTTACTTCATATTACAACATCTTTTCTTTTGAAGTAATGCATGTAAGATAATTTCTGGACCAATCGTGACTGTAAAAGTTGATTTAAAAGTTAATAATTTTTAAAATAATAAATCAGGCAGGCTTAATTATAGTACAGTTTTATCAATACACACTCTGATAATAGGAGCTGGTTTAATAGGGTGCTTTGATTACTTTTTTCAGTGTTGCAAAATTTGGGAGCTCTGTTGATGGATTCGATGTTCATGTATGGAAAAGCATTAGCTTTTGAGTAAAGATTTGCAGCCAGATTATCTGGCAGCAGTACTGCTGTTATTTTAAAGCTTTAAGCAAATTTTGCTGGTGTGGGATGTACACACTTGCAAGTAAGTGCCTACCGTGAACTGACTATGAAGGAAAATGTAATTAGAAATCCCAAAAGATCCATTCCACAATGCAGATGGCTGTGTATGAGAATCAGATGTGTCCTTGTTATAGTGGAGAATTCATGGTTTGCTTCTTCAAAAAGTAAATAAGGTGGAAAGAACTGGATTATAGAAAAGCATAACCAGTAATAGTGTTTTCTGGGGTTGAACCAGGAGGATTGTGCCAAATAATTTAGGAACTTAAATGAGATTTGGACGTGATTCAAAAAATCCAAAGCAAAAACCTTACAGCAGCATATGAGAAGAAACAGTTATAATGATAATTTAAGGACTTTTTATTGCAAAAGCTATTCCATCCGATTTAAAAAGACTTTTGTGTGGATTGTTAAGAAGAAGAATGAAGTGTCTCTGAAACTAAGTCATGTGCTGGTAAGAAAAATAGTGTCAAGTTGTCACAACAGGAACAGACTTGAGGAGAAGTATAGGTTATAAAAAATGCAATTAATTCTTCTAAGACAGCAGAGAAGATAAGATCTATCTTCTAAACAGGACAGTAATGGGGAAACGCCTTTCAGGATAGGATGCAAAAGAAACAGTATTGGGATTATAAAGATACCATGACAAAGTTCCAAAGAACCTCACAAGTAGTTTTATGTGCCCAGGAGACCTTTGGAATAATCGTGCTTGTGTGATGCCCATGTTACAAAGCCTGGGGAGTTTTCAGCAGCGGTTTGTGGTACATTGAAGGAAAGCAAGTTTCTTAAAAAAAAGAAAATCCACAGGATTCTTTGTTGCTCCTGCTGTAACCCCTTTCTTTGAATGAGGGGGATTGTTCTGTGAGTCAAACGTAGAAAACTAAAAGAGTTAATTTTGAAGTTCTTTATTAGGCTCTTATAAAGACAACAGGAGTGCATTGTTTTGCAGGTTGAAAAAGTGCATACCTTTCATACACTATTAAGCTGACACTACAGTATTAGATGAATACACATCTATTAAAGGGGGCGGGGGACCCAAAGGAGCTAAAAACAGTGATGGCAAATATTTCCTAGACTTGGTGGCTATCCAAAAGTTTGTTCTTTCCAGGACCCTTGTCTCGCAAGGGAGCAGGGTTGTGTTCTGACCTTGTGCTTAATCATGTGAGCAGATAAATATACGAGTCTCACATGCCATACTATTTGTCTAGTGTGTTGCACAGTACACCTGGTGCACTGCCTAAACCTGAAGTACGTCTCTCCCTTCTCTAAAAATATGCAGTCATAAATAGGTAAAGGTAAAGGACCCCTGGACAGTTAAGTCCAGTCAAAGGCGACTATGGGGTGCAGTGCTCATCTTGCTTCAGGTGTTTGTCCACAGACAGCTTTCTGGGTCATGTGGCCAGCATAAGTAAATCTCTTCTGGTGCAACGGAACACCGTGATGGAAAACGCTGTTTACCTTCCTGCCGCAGCAGTACCTATTTATCTACTTGCACAGGCGTGCTTTCAAACTGCTAGGTGGGCAGGAGCTGGGACAGAGCAACGGGAGCTCACCCTGTTGTGGGGATTCAAACCCACAACGTTCTGATCGGCAGGTCCAAGAGGCTCAGTGGTTCAGACCACAGCTCCACCCGCCAGCATTTAAACACTCAGTATAGAGAAGCCTAGGCACAATGTTGTAACAATGTCTACTTATTTAGCTTCCCTTGTAATGGCATCTTAGGGTATTTCTGACAGAAAGATCTGTAATGTCATTTTTGCTGAAGATGCCAAAATGATATTGGAATATATGAAGAATTCCAAATCCCAAATTTGGTAGAATAAATTTAAATTCAACCACAGAGGGGCTGCTTACCTAACTTTATTCCTGTTTGTTCAGATTTCAAACGATGCCCACAAAATATCTGACTGGTAAATTCTTTAATATACTAACATAACAAGTGACAGTCATTGTATTTGTGGAGCAGGCCAGGTTGAATACATTGTCCACTGTATTCGTTATTGCCCTTTATACAATTCACCTAGGAATAGATCCCCCTATTCATTCCAATATTCTTTAGAAGGTCAATCAGATGATTTCAAAATTAGATGGTAGCTTTACATGCGCTAGCAGCAAGAAAGTTACAAAGCCAGAAAAATATTTACTGCCAAGGAGATTTTTTAAATTCTAAATTATTTTGGGAACTTTATAATTTTAAGTGTTCATAGTTTGCAGCTCTGAAAATGGATATGCTTTAACTTGTCTTGGTTTTTTTGTGATTTTATATAGTAATGGCCACTGGGTACAAACAATGAAGAAAATGACGGGCAAATATCATTGATGATGGTTTCACATGTCATGTTATCATGCGACATGTTATCACTGACAATCACTTACATTTACATGTGGAACAATTAGGTTAACTGATGACATGGAGGAAAAAAACCCTATTTCAGGAAATGGATTTAAAATAATAATAACTGGTACTCATTGTAGATTATAAGTCAGTGTACATAGCATTTTAATACTTGTTATTTAATGCAAGCATGCCTAGTTTCTGGTGCTTAAATTTGTGGCTTATCTCTCTTGCGGTCAATTTAGCTAGAGTAGAGAAAATGAACACTAATTAACTCCGTGTGTAATGCAATGTCAAACAGGCCACATTCTAAATTTTTAATTTTAATTGCAGATGGCTTTTTTAATGATAAGACTTTCTTCCTTGCTTAACATCCTGCTATAAGCTATCATCTGCTGCTTATTTCTAAACACTACCAAATACTCCCTTATATTTGCAGAGATGGGCTGGTAGAATCCTGTTTCCTATTTGGTATCTTAGAAACAGATCCTTCGGGACTGATTCTCTATCTGGAAACTAAACTAGCATAATGAGTAGCCTTCTCTGCAAATTCAATATTAGCTTTACACCTCAGGTTAAAAAAAAGTTAATGACCATTTGCACACCAGAGATAGGAATTTTCCTTGCATTTCATAAGGCTTCCAGTTTAAAAAAATACAGCATTACACTGGAGTAATGTATAGTTAGATTGATTTAAATTACACGCTATAATCATGAGGACACCCAAGAACACTTCAACGAGAGGGG